AGCTTGTGTATTACTTCCGATTTAAGTGAGCGGTCATATGACGATCTATGTCTAGGACTCTCGGTTAAAAGGTTAAATGTCAAATCTTGGGTTCGGTCATAATATGAGAAAATGAACTTTCCTTTGATGAAGAGAGTAGTGCCTATCCAATTGAGAAATGAGTCTTTAACTGGGTGACCACCCACGTGTCGCAATTGGGTTGTGTACTAAATCGTTACCCACGTTTGTCAGTTATTGCTGCACCGTGTACAAGCACAACCTCCCTTAGCTTTGTCTCGTCGGTAAGACAGTAACGTATTAGGTAACGCCAATTTAATGTGCATGAATTTGGTCCTTTGAAATTTAGGAATATAAATTATTGTTTTTTTTATATTCAATTTAGTGACTCCAACCTTTCACTTATTAGTCAATCATACTGTTGAATTATTCTTCAATAATTAAAATAAAATAAAATAGAAAATGGATTACTAATTAATATAAATATCAATTTAAACATAATTTATTGGATAAAATATAATTATTGATGATTCAATTCCAACTCTATAATTATTGAATTTCAAATTAAATTAAATTAGATCTTTTTAAATGAAATTCTATATATATATATATATAAAAAAAAAACTACTAAAATGGTATTTAAACTTAAATTTATTGTGTTTTATTGAAGAACACATATTTAGAAAAAAATCTATATGGTAAAAAATGAAAAAAAAAAAAAAAACAAACAAACAAATTTAGTCATATAGCTCAAAACTTATCTTTTTACCTCTTCATAGTCACATGGGGTACATTAAATCCAACGCGGAATTATAAAATTTGGGTTGAATTGGATTAACTTTCTGCCATCAAATAAATGAGTTGACTCATATTATTAAATTATATTAAGATAATTTATATATCTGTATGTTTGCAGGGGTGTGATCTTTTTAAAACATATTTTTAAAATATATAATCTTAAAAAAACCCTAAACCAAAAACATATTTTTAAAATATATAATCTTTATTAATTTTAACAAAACTGGGATAAATATTAATTTAAAGATTTATAAATAAAAAAAATAAAAAATAAAAAGTTTAGGAAGTAAAATTAAATGGAATGAAATTAAAAGAATAAAATAATATTTTAAATTCTCCATATTTGGAAGCAGCGGCAGCGTTTTACGCGGTCCAAACACATACAAAACGAAAGAGCCGCGAAGGGCCGTCGACCGAGCCCTTCCACGCCACTGCCTCGCCTCTTCCGTCACACTCGGGGCCTCCAAATCCATCCCCCAAACTAAACGTATAAACACTCTCCACTCTCACGTTGCTTTCTTGATTACATTCAATCTTTCAAACCAATTTTTTCTTGCTGTCTTTTTCACCGGAAGTTGTGGAAGATTACGAAATGACGGATCGAAGAGGATCATAGCGGTTTCTTTTCTTTTCTGCTCTGGAATACGGCATGATGTGGAGGAGATGGTGTTCTTGTGCTTGTTTATCCAGTCGGAGATTGTTGATGAATGGAGCTCCCGGCGTGTTTTCTCCTGTACCTTCTAATGGTACTTTTGGTCTTGGAGGAATTTCTTTAATTCCATCGACGACGGAACGTTCGTCGGCCTGGTTTTATACCAGAATGGTTTCGTTTTCGTCATCTGGAGATTCGGAGAATTCTGCAGGGGTCAAAAGTGAGAGTGGTGACTCTGGAATTGGCGGAGAAACGGTATCGTTTGCGGAGGCCAAAAGGTTGATGAGATTGGTCAATGTCGAGGCGCTGAAGATGAAATTGGGGACTGAGGGGAAGGAGGCCATTGGATATTCGGAGCTTCTTGAAGCTTGTAAAAGCATGGGCATGGCTAGGTCCAATGACGAAGCTGCTGCTTTTGCTCGAGTCCTCGATGAGGCTGGCGTGGTTCTTCTCTTCCGCGACAAGGTCTATCTTCATCCTGACAAGGTTGGTGAAATTGGTGATCGGAATGGCACCTTTCTCAGTTAATGAACTGCATAATTGTGTCATCCTGGCATGGCATCAGTTGTTCATAATTCATTCTCATTCAATTTTTGGTTCATTTAGTGTCAGAGATTGCACGAGGTAGGAGGAAATTTCCACGAACAAATTAACTTTCTTTATAAGTATAGGATTTCAATTTTAGAAACAGATTGGTGACAAAGTAGGGAACATTTTAAGTCTTAAATACCTTTCTTCTTTTGAATTCAGGACAAATCTTGTAAGAACAAGGCCAAATTGCACAAAAACATTAAAAAGGTAGAACTGAGTAAGATTACTCTGGTGGGGATGGAAGTTTTTGTAGTTTAGTATAGTGTAGTTCTTACAAGATTTGAGGATATGAAATTTATTCTTTCCACAAACATGATTTAAGATATGATTTGGTTTCTGCTGAGAAACTTGATTAGCCAGTTGTGAAGAGGTAGTGTACATTTTCTTTGTTCAGAGATTCTAGATCATACCTTGTTTGTCACCAATGTGAGAACTATATGTGTGTCCAATGGCTTAATTATTCATGAGCGTGCTTGTATCCTTGGCCCAAGAACATGATCATAGTTTCTCTGTCTTTGTTCTTACGAGATAGAGTGATATATGTTAGAGGAACACAACTCTCCACAATGGTATGATATTGTCCACTTTGAGCATAAGCTCTCATAGCTTTGCTTTGGGCTTCCTCAAAAGGCCTCATACCAATAGAGAGTGTATTCTTAGATTATAAACTCATGATCATTTCCTAAATTAACTAATGTGGACACATTCTTCGAGGTGGCTTTGCTTTGGGCTTCCCCAAAAGGCCTCATACCAATGGAGAGTGTATTCTTAGATTATAAACCCATGACCATTCCCTAAAAGGCCTCATACCATGGATGGTTGAATGTAGCTATGTCTGGCATTTCATCCTTGATTCTTGTTGTTGCTCAGTACGTACGGTCATGTCCTTGATTCTTTCTTAGCGTTACATAATCACGTGGTGTCTTCGCTCGATCCTGATTCTTTTGATTCTTTTTGCACTGTGAAATCCCACATCGGTTGGGGAGAAGAACTAAACATTCTTTATAAATGTGTGGAAATCTCTTCCTAGCAGATAGCGTTTTAAAACCTAGAGGGGAAGCCCAAAAGGGAAAGTCCAAGAAGGACAATATCTGCTAGCGGTGGGCTTGGGTCCTTGCACACACTAGATGCTCGTTGACAGAAGTGGAAGCAGAAGATTATGTGTTTACTTACTAGCACATGAACTTAATGTTATTAATGTCATGCTTTTTCAGGTGGTGGATCTGGTTCGACGAGCAATTCCGATTGCTTTGATGCCCGAAGACGACCCAACGAGGAGCGAGCTAATGCAGCTGCAAGAAAAGAAGGAAGACATTGATGTATTGGCACATAAGCAGGTGCGACGAATCCTGTGGACTGGGCTCGGGTTAGCCATTGTGCAAGTTGGACTGTTCTTCAGGCTGACATTCTGGGAATTCTCATGGGATGTAATGGAACCAATTGCATTTTTCACCACAACAACTGGATTGGTGATGGGCTATGCTTATTTCCTGTTCACTTCAAGAGATCCCACTTACCAGGATCTGTTGAAGAGGCTTTTCCTGTCAAGGCAAAGGAAGTTGTTCAAGAAGCATTCTTTTGATGTTTGCAGATTCAAAGAGTTGCAGAAGAAATGCAAGATGCCTCTCGACGCCACCACCAATATTAAGAATCGGGTGGGCGTAGATCTCGACCTTGAAGATTGCTTGAGTAGAGATTAACTACTTATTACACAGGTAAGTGTTTCTTAACTACTATTAACATCCCTAATCTTTTCTTTCTGGGGGCTGTCATTCAATTTTGAAATTTAGTTATGAACTGGTAAATAAATACTTGCCTTGTTCAATCGTATATGAACTCAAATAACCATGCCATTTTCATAGCTTCTGTGTCTTTACTGCCCACCTGCATTGCTTTTGTGCTTGTGAATTGAATTCTGAGGCATTTAGGGAGAATTTAGTTCATTGGTTGGTTCTCTAGACTATTTAGGGTTAACAAACAGCTACCCGCGGTCTAAGTGCATTGATCAGGGCTTCATGATTACTTTATTCCATGCATATCGTTTGCCAGTAACAATATTTTTATGAATTTGATAAATGCATTGCTTGTGAGGTATGTGTTCGTGTATGTTCTTTAGATCTCCCCGAAAATTGGCAACGGATATTTGAAAGAAACAATTGCTTAATTACAGTGTTTATTCCATCGAACATCTTATTTGGCTAAGTTCACACTTGGAAAGGGAGAGAGATTGGCAGATCAGCTCGAATAAAATATTGATTAAAAGTACAGACTCTTTGTTCGGCCTCGAAACCAACCTCTAAGTTCCACAAGAGGTCGAGCAAGTGATACTCATGCTAAGCTTTCGTTGCGTATAGAGAGATTTGACAAGAGTGTGAGCTAGGAGCACATAGACTATGTCTCACTCCATCTGTGCCAATAATATGACATCACATTTTTATTAAATATATATATATTTTAATCTTTTTTCTTTTTATAATTAGACTAAATATAAATTTTTTCAGTATTTTTTTTTGCCAAGACTATCATCACATAATATTTAAATTAAGTATTTAACATAACAATAAAATGTATTTCTTAAGACTTAATAAATAAAAGTGCTCAAAATTGGATTAATTAAAAAAATAACTTTTTTTGAATAAGCAATGGACTTTGAAGCCATTAATAAAAAAAATCTCAAAATATTTATTAAAAATTATAATTAATTGAATCACTGTATTCTAAACAAGTTTGTTATTTATTTATTTTATTTTATTTTTTGTAAAAAATAAAAAATATAAATATATAACAATATTTTTAAAAAAAAATGTAAGGATGGATCAAATTGAAAAAACACAAAAAATAGAAGGACCAAAAAATAAATTTACCCTTCTAATTAATTGCCCCAGCAGGTCTCGTAGATTAGTGTGGGCAAAATGGTAACTTCATACTGTAAAAGATAATTAGATAAGGTTCCGTCATTCTGTTTGCATATTTGGCTGATTAATTTAGTTGGCCATTTCCACCATTTTTTATCTGCTCTTCAATCACAAGAAGAAGAAGACGAAGAAGCAATTCACCAAATGTTAGGCACTGCGAATCTAGTTATGGGCTCTTCTTCAGCCGCCATGCTTACTTCAACGCAGTGTACTGCTATGAAGTCTCTTGCGAGTTTCAGAATTGGTCACCATAGCCACTGCCGAGCACTTTCACTGCCTTCGGGATTACCGTCTGCTTCTGGTTTTAGCTCCTGCTTCTTCGCTTCAAGAGGTTCTTCGCCTCAAGAGGTTCTTCGCCGTTCAACACAGCAATCGCCGCCGTTAACGATCAACTAGTGTCCTCTTATTCGGCAGGCGAGGTAATCGTTAGGTTTCCGAGCTTCTTCCGCATTTCGTTTGTCTTCAATTTCTGAAATCCGGCTTGGTGTTCATTGTTGTTCTAATTTAGGTATGAATTGATCGATACATCAGGGGTTAGGTTTTTCAAAATTGTCGATGTCCATGGAAATCTAGTGAAATTGTATGTATGTATTTTTCGAAGTCGAGATGTTTATGTTTAATCACGAAATTGATCCTAATTTGTTATGCTTCGTTGGTTTGCCCTATTTCGTTCTTGAAATTTTGGAATTGTGGAAGTGAAGCTCACTGGTTTTATGATCGTTTCAATGCAGCAAGAATCGAACAAGTACCATTTTGTAGTTGCAAATGCGAAGTTCATGCTCGATGAGGAGGAGCATTTCAGGGAGCTTCTCTTCGAGCGGCTTCGCTACTATGCCGCGCGTAACAAGGAGCAGGACTTTTGGTTGGTGATCGAGCCTAAATTCTTGGAAAGGTTTCCTAATATCACCAAGAGATTGCAGAGACCTGCCGTTGCTCTTGTTTCAACCAATAGTACCTGGATCACGTAAGCTACCTGTTTTCATTTTTTGCATTATTCACCCTGCTTTGCAATATTACATTATAAATAAAGGACGTTGATCCAAAACTACAACCTTAGTTAGGAATCGGGGCATAAACACTAATGTCTAACAACTCGAATTATGCTCGAGTTCCATTTGCGTCATTTGCATTGGTACATTTACTTCTTGCTGCTCATTTGCTGTGATACTTTATCATGGAAAATCGATCATCTCGAGGCCTAATAGATTACAAAAAAAGGAGATGCTATATGTGAGATCTCACATCGGTTAGGGAGGAGAACAAAGTTTCACTCCCTAGCAGACGGAAGGGGGCTCGGAAGGGAAAGTTCAAAGATCGACAATATTTGCTAGCAGTGGACATGGGTTGTTACAAATGGTATTAGAGTTAGACACTGGACAATATGCCAACGAGGAGGTTGAGCCTTAAAGAGGGTGGACACAAGGCAGTATGCCAGCAAAAACGTTGGGCCCTGAAGAGGGGTGGATTGGGGGTTCCCACATCGATTGGAGAAGGGAACGAGTGCCAGCAAGCCCCAAATGGGGAGGACACAAGGCGGCGGTGTTCCTTCAAGGACGTTGGGTCTCAAAGGGGGTGGATTGGGCGTTCCACATCGATTGGAGAAGGGAACGAGTGCCAACAAGGACACTGGGTCCCCAATGGGGGAGGATTGTGAAATCCCACATAGATTGGAGAGGAGAACAAAACATTATTTATAAAGATGTGGAAACCTCTCCCTAGCAAACGCGTTTTAAAAACAATTGGCTAGCGGTGAGCTTGGGTTGTTACACTTTATCTCGAGATAAATCATCGAGGTAGATAACAAATTTTGAAGGACTACTGGAGGCTTGAATATAATCAACAGCTACAATGCATCTTAATTCTATAGAGCTTAATTCTATAGAGCTTTGTTATTTGCATATGCTGACAGAACAACATTTACTCCCATCTGCACTTGGTTAGTTTTTGGATTTCTAGTTTCTATAGATGCTGTAATGCAAACTTACCTTGTTGAGAAGTTGTTTAGCAACAGCAACTGAAACTCATTTACGTTTAATAACCTCATTTGTATATCGTGGGTGAAGTTAAATGTTTACAATTACTACAAAAGCATCTCCGGCAACAATGTCTTGGCTCGACAACCCATTTTAGTCCTTTCTTTTGTTGATATGGGCAGGTTCATGAAGCTGAGACTGGACCGAGTTTTAGCCGAAAGCTACGAAGCCGATAGCTTAAACAAGCATTGGCTTCTAACCCGACCAACATCGGAGTTTGAGAAGCCTGAAAAATGGGCGGCTCCCTACCCCAAGTATGAATATGGATGGTGGGAGATTTCCTTGCCGCCAGTGACAAAAACAGAAGCAGAAGCAAAAGTGTAAGCTGTGTGATTTTCTTTAACATCTTTAATCAATTAGCATTTGGATGGTGCGAGGATTTGATAAACCATTTGTAGTTGGAATGCAGCTTTTGATTATTCTAATATGGTAAATGAGTTTACTTTTGTGGCTGTTCTTCATTTTAGAGTCGAATGTACAGGATTCATTTATTTTTTTTTCATTTTTTCTTGTTATAATTATTAACTTATATAAAATGGGCTGCTGCTGATTTCATTTCATCCATATGTATACAAGGTGTAGATATGATCAATTAAAGTGAGTATAGTCGATCGAGAATTGACATGTACCTCGATTATGATTTGAATCCTGTAAGTATAGTACATAATTTAATTAGTTAGTTCAGCAGTTGTTGACATGCAACATGCAAGTTCGTGGTGTATTGGTGAGTTTAAACATCTTAATATATGTAATAAATCATTTTATGAAGTAATAATATTTGCATAATAATAATAATTTAACCCTAAATGGTAAAACACCATCATCTTCTTCGTCGTTTTTACCAAGAAATTGAATTAATTCATTGAAAAAAGAAAAATGGAAGAAGCTGTATTATTCTTGTTTATGGTGTTCTTAAGCTCCTCCTGCAATCTCCTTGAGCGGCTTCCACATGAACTTCCTCCTGCAGCAACGCCAAACTCAAATCTTTCAGCTTACATATATATATATATATATATATATATATAGTTGAAAATGGAGATAGCAGAGAAGAAAGCTACCAATTCCCGCACTCCGCGATGACTCGGACTTTTGGCCGGAGAGTCGGCAGCAGAGCAAGGAACTGCAACTCCGCCTTCGACAGAACCTGAACAGTGTTTTCAATTCCGTAATTGATTCTGAAATCGTTAATGGCAGATTTAAGAATCTCACCTTAGCCTCGATTATCCACACCACTAGTCCCTTGGCGTTCGGCGGCAGAGCCTCGAGCCTGTAATCGACTTCCGGTGGGAAATACCACCGAGCGATTGGCTGCTTCCCTAAATGAGCCTGCAATTCGAAGCCGAAGTAAGATCAATCGAACAAACCCTAGGGGAAAAAAAAATTGAATTAGCCGTAGGGATTCGATTGAACGGACAGGGCAAACGGGGTGAATCTTGGTGAGAGTGGTCTCAGGATCACCGAGGCCGCGTGCGGAGAGGTCGAGGAAGTAGTAGCCCTGGTAGCGGAGGCGATTTAGGTATCGGCCTTCGTAGCCGCCTTCGTGCGGCGAGTAAATCGCTAGGGCTTTATGTTCCTCCACATCCGATAGCCATTGACCTAGGTCGAATTTCAGCAAATCTCCGCCGATGAAATCGCCAATTCCGATTCCCTCGCATCTCACCGTCGCTGCCCTGCCTTTGCCGGTACCGAATCTAGTCCTCCGCCCGATCACCTGCAGGGTCGCAGGCGAGGTCAGTGGACGGAGCCGCCTTGGGTGAAGATGGAGCGACGGCGCTAGTGCAGCTCCATTAAGCATGGAGGCTAGAGGGGGCATGGTGTGGGTTTATTAGTGAAAAGGAATTGGAATGAAGAAGGAAAATGAGGATAGGAGAACGAAAGGAGGCCATGGCTGAGGAATTAAGAGAAGGTTGAAGCTAATGCACAGATGCCATGGCCGTGGTTTGTGTGGATGAAAATGGAGATAAAGCTCCCCGTCTGCTTTCGCTCTTCTTTTTTATATTTGTAATAGTTTAGGAATAGCTCAAAAGTTTTATTAAATTTCTAATAATTTAATTTCATTCAATGTTTTTTTTTAACCTCAGATAAAATAAAAAACGTCCTTCATTGTTCGGTGCCAGAGTATGTTCAAGTGTTTAACCATGGTCTTCATCACAAAGTTGTTGGTGGCTCGAGAATCAACCATAGTGCTCTATGTCGTTCTGTGGTAAACCCAGGCTTCAACGTTCATAAGATCACGCTCTACTAGCTTTTTCATTTCTAGGCTCCCATGCAAGGATTGTCAATGTTTCTACTAGTGGTGTTTTTACTTTCATCGTTTCAAATTCGACTTCTAAATTCGTTTCACGTGTCTTGGAAGGTTTGAAGGGTCACTGCCTTTGGGCATTCGGACATTCAATGGGTCCCCTTACCCACACCTCCTTATTTATTGAGTTTGGATTGATATAGTCTCAGATATTTTTAGTATGTCTCAATTCCCTCAATTTTCGTCTCACGAATATCTCGACATTTTCTAGGAAGAATTGCGAAACGAAACTCTTATTTGATTCTTTTCCAAGTGTCTGTGGTACATTGGCCGAATTGAATATTCATGTGCCTGGATCTCTACCACAATTTCACATCGTTAAGCTAGATTCAAGAGTCTTGACATCTTAAATCCCATAAAAGGGGTTAGGTTATGGGATCCTTACCTTGTTAAGTTGGATTGTGTCCCCTGATGGGGATTGGGTCCCCACCATTCTCACGGTGAGTTTAGTTTGACGCTCAAATCCACCCTTTCAATCTTGACCACATCAAGAACAACTTTCACATCATTATAAGAGTTTAAGAGCAACTGAATTATAGTCATTTTATGTGATTGTCTAAACCTTCAATACATTTCTATATGTGGGCTACAGAGTCCGTCAAACTATCCCCACACTCGAGCCATAATCTCATGTGACTTGATCTTCTAGGAGCCAAGTCACCTTTGATATCAATGATCACAATCGCACTTTTTTTGGAATTATAAAGCGATTCAAGTTAGTCAACCTAAACTTAGGTAGCCAATGGAAAACGGTTTATGATTTAGTTTTCACCTAATTTTGTAAAACCGGTTTTAGAAAACGAGGTTTGAAACAGTGTCGAAAAACGTTATGAAAACAATTTGAGAAAGCAAATGTTATAAGCTCGCAAGCTATAAGGGATAACAACATCGATAACATATAACCTCGGTAATAAAATTTAACAACTAGTTTGTATCTTTATATAATACATTTTAAGGCAAATTAACTTTGGTAGGTGTAGACATCAAAAATGTCGAAAACAAGGTAAAAGGATTTAGAATGGGCATGCAATCACTCTCTGGTTAAGCATGACCCATATAAAAAAAAATGACGGACTCAACATAACTCAACTAAAAAAACATAGGGTTGAGCTGGGTTGTGCAGTCTATTTAAGTTGTTCGGGTCACTAACCCAACCAACCCAAGTTGTTCGGGTCACTAACCCAACCAACCCAACCGTATAGACCCATATAAAAACTTATAAGTCTATATAGTCTTAGAAATTAGAATATTATTCCTAATAGTTTGTTATAACTAAATAAGATTGAAGTTGTTTTATATTAATTTCATGGATTAAATTAATGATATCCAAAGAAAGACACAGAGACACGTGGCATTCGGTAATAGCCCACCAGGGGCCCGAAAAGTTTCGGGCTAAACAGAATGGATCAGGCCCATTGAAAAATTAACCGAATAAAAAATAAAAAATAAATAAATAAAGTTCTATCTAACTTGCTTTCAACCGGAATTGTGGGCTCCGACGACCGGGGTTTGAGAGATATAGAGAGAGAGTCAATCGAGATTGAGATTCAGAGAGAAGGAATCCAAGGGTAAATGATTGGAGAATGAAGTTCTTGTTTCGATTAAGTTTCCATCGTCAAATTCGGTTTCCGTCTGATTCTTGTTCTTCAACGACGAAAATCAAGCTTCTTATCTTCAATTTCCTTCCCTCTTTTGACCAATCCGAATCTATCCTCGAGTTCCATTGAGAAGGCTGCGTGCAGCGCTGAAATTGAAATTTGACATTTCAATTGAGGACCTCTTCTTGTTCTTTTTTCTGCACTGGAGGTGAGATTTGTTCGTGTATTCTGAAATGGTTTCGTATTCTTAAGATTGGCCAAAGGGCTTTTGGAATCTAGGGAGAAAGAAGGAGATGGAATACAAGAGGCGGCATCAAGGGCCGATAAGACCTTCAGGTTTTGAAGAAGTAGCTCGGAATTCTCGGCGCTCTACTCTTCTTGTATCCAATGAAGATGACGATTTACATGATCTTAGTAGCGATAGTGGCAATGATGCTGTCGGAAGTTCGCGGTCATCAAGCTCCCCACAATCTCTTGCTGCTAAAGCCATAAAAGCGTCATCGGCATATAGGGATTCTTCAGTCTCATCTGCTTATGCTGCGCGCTCTGCTTCCCGCGTCCCGAAGCCCACTTCATCTTCCGCTTCTCCTTCCCCCGCGTCCCATCAGGTTTAATTTCTGTCTTTTCTTTACTCTGCAAACGGTATCTTCTGCTATAACTCTCAGTATTATATTTTGGTAGTTTGTTTGGCTGAGTAAAAATAATGTTGCACCTTACTCTTGTTAATTTGAGCATTTTAGATGCAGTTTTTGTTCTTTCTTTACTTCGAAACTGAATAGTCCATTAGGATTCAAACTTATAGATACGATTGATGGCTCTATTGGTGTCTCTGCATATTGGATCTTTCAGCAACAGTATACTAAAACCAATGTTTTATGAAAACTGAATTTTACTGCTAGATCTACGTTACAAAACAGAGGGGAAAGAAGAAAAGGAAATGATGCCTGCCTTCAAATAATGGTTCTATGAGACTAGCCCCCCTTCCCTTCACTAGCTCTAGAACCTTGTAATATATGCCATAGAAATGTAGCAGTGTTTTCCTTATTATCTTTGAAGAAGAATTCATCGAGCGCAGCAGACTTGCAAAATTTCTTCTCTTGTCTCCATTAAATGTTGCAGTTTCTCTTTTATCCTTGATTATTATTTTGCCCCTATTGGTTTGTTGAGGAAAGAAGAACGAAACTACGTTGATATTTTAAAATTTTCCAACAGCTATATGTTCACCTTTCTCTTATCATTGATAAATTCTACTATGTCCGCTGCTTGTTCATCTATCATATATTCCTTTGCGCATTATATTACTTTCTGGCTATCTCTGTGCCGGATACATTGCCACCAGGCATGTTCTTGTTGTTTCTTTTCATGCTCGGAGAAGCTCTCTTTGCATTTACTCTATCTAGTTCCCTCAATTATGGTGGATTTATTTTTCATTGCCTTTCCTTGTGGGTTCTGTCGTTCTGTGGCATATATCCTGATGTGAATCAAGTGATGGAAAGAAACTCTTAGTCATTTAAGGTAGAAGGAGAAAATGAAGGGCTTTAGTTTTCCATCTATCACACATAACACCCTCAATTATTTTAAATTTACCACTTTGGGCGAGGAGTATCATTTATGTTCTATTGCCTGAGGACCGTCACTTTTCTGTGAATCTTATTAATCATTTTATATTTTGCATCCTCCTCCAACAATTGAATAGTTTCGCTATTTACTATCTCTTCTGAAAATTTTGTTGTGCGTATTAATGTAGGATTCAAAGGCATATGAATATACATCAATGAAAAGTTTGAATGAATCTAAACATGGATTCTGGGGTGCGTTGGCCAGAAAGGCAAAAGCAATTCTTGATGATGATAATGATGTCCAGCAACCTGAAGCACCTGGAAGAATGAGGGAGCAAGGACTTGGTACAGGTACCGCTACAAGGGTCAAGGTAAGATTTTCTTAAATTGCATTTCAATATTGACCTAAGTATCTCATGGGAGGACATCTTATCTGTAGAATGTTTTGGTAGGATGTTAATGTGTCTGTTTATAGTTAAAACCCAATATTTTTGTATCTGTTGTAATATGCAGAGTTATGACAGAAGTCGGTCAGATGAAAGCCAACAAAAAACAGAAAATTCCTCTTTCCAGAAGGGATTGGGTGCCATTACATCTTCCCTTAACTATATTGGCAATGCTTTTGAGGTAAGTTATTAACTGAAATTCATAATAGCCTATCTAATTATCCCTTGTAAAATAGGGATTCCTTATGCTTCTTTCTGTTTCTGAAATATGTAGCATGAAAACTTTAATATATATATATATATATACATATATATATATGTATATATAGAAAAAGACAGTAAAATACCATTTCATTCCTTGTACTTTGAGTTTCTGTCACTTTTTAGTTCTCGCACTTTTTCAATAAAGCTTGAAATTGGTCCTTACCATTAGTTTCAAGTTTATTTTTATCGAAATTGATTAAATAATAATGATTATTTTCATGCAAGAAAGATACCACATGAATATATTTCCAAATTTTGTAAAAGGAAGGCTATTAAAGATTAAATAATTTTTTAGAAAATTAACAATAAACTAAGAATAGTGACCAATTTTAAGTTTTATTGAAAGTTTAAGAACCAAAATGGAATGAAACCTAAACTACATGGACTAAAATGATATTTTAACCAAAAAGAAAAATATGCCATTAAAACATCAGGGGTCATGGACCATGCTGAGTGTTCTAAGATTACTTAAATCTCCATTTCACATCGTTCTTAAGGATATTCCTTGTCTCCTTCTCAGGAAAAGCTTACGGCCGTGGAAAACAAAACAGCTGATATTATTCAAGAAACTCGCAAGCATATTAAGAAAAAATCTGGTGGTTCAGTGGCACAGTATCATACACCAAATTCTGGCTTTAACATGCATTCTCAGACACAGCCTCAACCACAGACCCAAATGCAAACTGGCATTGAACTTCAGCTGAAGGCATCTCGCGACGTAAGGTGGCAACTGTATATCACTAGTTTATGAAGTTATATCATTAAACCATTGCTTAAAGCTTATTTGAATTATACCAATGGCTTTAACCTATAAGTCAGTTAGCTTAGACCGAATGATCTGGGGATTGGATCTATGTGCTGTATTTTTCTTGCAAACCTTTTTTAAACATCCGTTGGTCTTGTTCGTGTCTTTTTCTTTGGTGTCTGGCTTTGTTCATTTCCACAAGATTTGGTGTCCTGAGCTTCACATGAGGATTCAAGGCTTTTCTTTTTATGGCTCATATTTCCTGCTAACGATGTGTTGCAGGCTCCTGTGGAGGTTTTGATCTAGGTTCTTGTTCGTTTCACAAGTTTGTTGACTGGATGGTGTGGATTTGGATTATTTATTATTGTGTCCCCCTTTTGCCGAGTTCTTATGAAATGACCTGATATGTATTTAGAGTTTGTCATGTGTCTATCCTCATCACATTGATATTTGGAGGATGTAGAGTATCAGCGATGCATTCAAAGGAAGTCCTGAATGTTTGTATATGCTACTCTGCAGTTCATGTTGAATAGTAAAACCTTCATGTTGTAGGATGCAACTAATTTATTTGCCCTTTCTGTCCTATATTTTTGTATGACATATTGATAATGTTTGTATCATATGTGATATATAGTTCGTTCGATATAAATGTAGAAGTTGATTTCTTTTTCTTTTTGGAACTTGTGCATCTATTTGCATAAATGTTTTTCAATTGCATCCACCATCAGTGTACTAATGAACACGATGTCACTGAAACCTATATATGGTGCAAGTGAAATTTGATTGCTGTTTGATATAAATTACTTTTCTTCTATGAATATCAGTCTACTTTCTTGGTAGAATTTGCTGTAGCTCCGTTTGATATGTTTTGCAATAAGAAAAATGGGCATATATTTTTTTTATTATTATTTGTTTGACTCCATAGGTTGCAATGGCAATGGCTGCCAAAGCAAAGCTGCTTCTTCGAGAGTTGAAGACTGTCAAAGCAGATCTTGCTTTTGCAAAGGAGCGATGTGCTCAGCTGGAAGAAGAAAGTAAAATTCTTCGGGAGAATCGTGAGAGGGGGAACAACCTAGAAGATGATGATTTGGTAACCACTCTCTCTATTCACACCATCTTTTTGCTCATGTTGGACCTTTCTTTACCCATTACGTCAATATGTCATAGGTAGCATTCATTTCTAGAGAATCATTTTAATCAATTGATTTCAGTTCTAATTCCTAATGTTTTTAATTTTAGATACGACTCCAACTCGAAACACTTCTGGCAGAGAAGGCTCGTTTGGCTCACGAAAATTCAGTTTACGCACGCGAGAATCGGTTTCTAAGGGAAATTGTTGAATACCACCAGCTGACCATGCAGGATGTTATATACCTGGATGAAGGTACAGAAGAAGTCACCGAAGTTTACCCCATTAAGCTCCCTGCAGCATCCAATCTCAATGCCGTTTCTCCGTTAACGTCTCAGCCAATGTCGTCTTCCAACCGATCTGGTGTAGGGCTTGACATGAGTTCTCAAATGACCCAGATAATTCCTACTTGCCCTTTACCCCCATCAGATCTGAGAGGAATCTCCTGAAGCTTTGCATAAACAAACTCTTTTTACATTTTGAATATGCTGGTTGGTTGATTGCATGATGAAACCCATCCAACCCTATGATGCTTTGATTAGTTTGATTTGAATGATAAAAAAAAAAACTGTACCTTGTAGTCTGTCTCCTCTTATACTGTTTGTGCTGTGTTGTAATGCAACAATGCTATTTTCTTTTCCTTTCCAAATACAGGGTAAAATTTATTATGTTTATTTACTCGAGTGACTGGAAACTCAAACATCTAATCTTTTAATCTGTTTACCCAAACATCTGATCTTTTAAACTGTTTTATATTCATGATCGTATGTGGCATGCACGATTACTTATTACGCAATATTTTGATAAAAAAAAATATTTAATTTCTTTTTGTTTCATTATATTGTTGAAAAATAATATAGAAATATTTGTTTATATGACGAAAAAAAAAGATTATTTTGTATGTAAAAGAAAGAAGCTTTGGACATGAAAAGGTGAAATGGAGGTGGAGCCTTCCAAATTCCAATTGATTTGTGGGACAATGCAACACATAATATCTATATTGGATAACTATTAGAATGGTGGGGTGGCTTCCTTCAACGCCACACAATTAAGTTAATTAAATAAATAAATAAATAAATAAATAAATATATATAGATATTAGCAATAAGTCTAAATCATAGTCGAACATGCTAATGAATAAATAATTTAAATATGATCATTTTAATAATTGAAATATAAAGATTTCTAAGATAAGTTTGGTTTTAAAAAAAAAGATTTTAATAATAATTTTTTAAAAAATATATAATATATAAAAAGGGAAGTGAACAGGGAAAGGCGGCGGCGGCGGCGGCGGCTATAGTTTTGGAATTATTGGTCGGTTAAGATGTGTTTGGTAAACAAACAATGGAGAATGGACCCTTTTGCCCTTTGCCGCCTTCTCCATTCTTCTTTAACTAACCATTTATCACTCTTTTATTTTTCTTAATTCTTTATTTCTTCTCTCTTTTACACATCTCTCTCCACCTTTTATTTTCATTATACATTCAAATATAAGTCCATTTTGCCCTTAAAACGTTATAATTGGTTGTTTTTAAGGCACCTTTAATAGTGAGTTTAAAATGGTTGAAAATTCTTCTATCCATAATTACTTTTTGAATCAACTTATATTTGTTTGATAAATCTATCTTATCATTAGTAACAATGTTAACAGACAACCCGCTTTTTAATTTGAAAAAAATAAAAGTGTATAATTAATTTATAGTTAATGAATTGTATTTTGAAAATGGCATAGTCAAGAATTTCACAAATTAATTTAATTAATTAGTGTGATTAAAAGGTATGAAATAATAAGTAAATAAGTGATACTAAAATAGCATAAACGTAGCATCCTCTCTAAACTTTTTTACTAACCAAAAAAAAAAAAAAAAAAAAAAAAAAAAAAAAAAAAAAAA